TATTATTGCATTGACTACCCTGCCTGGGTAAAAGTTTGTTTGTACTGTAAAATATCAGTATTAAATTAAATATTTTCAGCACTATAAAGAGGTTAAATTAACATAAAAAAAGGTATCTTTCTCTCTTTGTTAAGATTGATGCTCTTAGCACACAGGTGTCAGTAGCCAACAATGCTATTTATGCCCTGGTGGGGACACATTTCTAAAAAGCCTTTTTGGCCAACATTATGAAAAGGTCTCTTTTAACCCATTGTCATAATTTGAGGCCTAAAGGCATGCAGGGTAATCTGTGATTATAAATGGTCCATACGTGTGCATGTGAGTGTGTTTTTCTCTCTATGTGTGTTAGCGCTGTGGGACCTGTTCATGGTGTACAGGCCTCTAACCCATCGGTGGGATGGGCTCCAGCCACTGAAATAGGAAAAGGATGGAGGGATGGATGGATGAGCAGAGGTTTATCTTGTACTTTTCCCTTTATTATTATATAATTGATATCACAGTGATGGCCTGCCCTAAAGTTTAGTTGTTCTTTATTATCACACACCCCCTTGTGTATTCACTCCGTGTTTCTTTGCTTGTATCTCTGCATTTTTGGGGGTTTTTTTTGGTGTTCTGAGTTTGCTAGTTTATTTTTGTCACCTTTGTTGTACTTTTGTATACATACACAAAGATATATAAATACTGTATATGCATACACACTCTACTCTAAACAGTATTAAAATATGCGATGCTGACATACCTTTTTTCTTATTGTCAGCTCTGACAAGTTGTCTCCTTTCCTTTTATATAACATATGACACTCTGACTCTCAGAATATCAGAATATATATTTTGAGTTCATAACAAACTCCTTGTTTTAAGAAGAAAATGCTCAGGCATTGTTTGACTGTTTATGTCTATCATCATGTGTTTTAGCCTATTAAAGAAATACCATATGGCCACATTAACAAGGTTGCAAGCTTGGGAGTGTCAAATGTCTTTATTTTTGAGCCATACACACCTCTCCAGAAAGCTGTCGCCTCTTCCTTAGCCAACATAAACATACATAAATATATGTAACAACAGGACAATAACAACCGTCATATTTTTTTTTCTGAAAAAACTGATTCTGCTTTGTTGGCTCTGTTCCCCTATTCATGCAGGGAGAGATGCATCTGTTCAATGTGACAAGGGAGGCAGATATTACTCATGTTTCCTGTCAACATTTTGGATGGACCGCGACAACTATTCGTCTCCAGGGTTTCTAGGCATGGAGATGGCATTTGTTTTCTTCACGATCAGTTTATTAGAAATCTTCCGCTGTGGTGACTCCAGGCAGTAATATGTCTCAGCAGTTTAAAAAACAGCATTAAATGATTTCTACAATATTCTTACCCCTTACCTAACTCAGGGGGTATAAATTACGTATTTCTATTTCCCAGAACCTTTCTTTTTATGGAGGCAATGCCATTGATGCGCTGTCCTAATGGAAGAAAAAGGCCCTGTTGTTGGATCAGAACAGGTTTAATCCCCTTGACGTTTATCCTAGAATTTATCCTTGTTTGTTCGGATGGATTAGAAACTGGTGTCAGACTAAGCTGTGGCCTTTCGCCGATATGCATACAGTGGCTAAAACATATTAATCCTCTCCGACTTTCACTCAGGTTGTTTGTGTCACAACAATCATCACAATAGCCTGGTAAAGAAACCAAAAAGGGCAAACAAGCTCAAAAAGGGACTTTTTAAAACAGACCTAGTATTTCCAAATCCATACTTGTATTCTCGGACTCTACATGAGTATTTTTGCATGATTCAAACTTTAAAATAATCTTATACTTTTGTTCGGCTGTTCAGTTTAGCCTCTGTCTGAAGCAAGCCCTCTCTCTTCAAGCTGATTGGGTGTTCTTTGTAAAAGAACTGCTGTATTAATTAGTTACTTACATGCATGCAAATCTCATTAGATGGCAATGTTTCTTCTAAAAGCATCTGCCACTGTGGACTGAAAGGTAATGCAATGCACTGCAGACCTGTTTAATATGCAGCTGTTGTATGACTCATGTAAGAATTAAAGGCTCGCCAGTTCCTACGGGTAAAAAAAGAATGGGGAACAAGAAAAGTTAGAACCGTTTAGAGTAAAAGAGAACTGAGTAGTTTTGTAATAACTACTCTACTTACTCTACTACTTACCGTGTCAGTACCTGGAAACAATACTATAGTTCAGACAAAACTTATTTTCACTATTTTCGTGTTCTGTTCACAACCAAGAAAAACAAAAGATCCACTTGAATCGGTGACGGCATCGCAGAAAGAGGACACAGCATCACAGTTTCAGTTTACCAGCAAGAGTTGTTTCATTGACACAGAAAATTAAATAAATATAAAAAGCTGGAAATCTGACAAAAAAGAAACAAAAAGAAAGAAAGAAAGAAAGAAAGTCTGGGCCAGTCAGGCAATATCCCGTAGGAATCAGAACTTCCCTGAACTAATGAGGCAAGAAAATTAAACCAACAAACAAAGGAGTGAAAAAAACAGACCAAAAAGGAAAATAAATAAATAAATCCTCACAAAGAAGCCGGGGACTGGAAAACTACTCAGTCCATGAGAAAGAGAGTGTCTCATGATATATATTATAACATAATATATATTATGTCACGCTGCTTATCTAAGAAAGAGAGAAGAAATGATTCAGGGAGGAGGAAAATGCTAAAGTAAATACTGTATGTAACACTATGATTCACAGTTAGAAAATGCTAACTACTCTGAAGCAGTACATGAATGTAACAAACATTTTTGGGGGAGAGGGGTTACTGAAAACTAAAAATAAAATGATACTCATCAATACCAGGATGCATCTATTTAATTTGTGCTACTCAGAATGGGTACGCACCTTCAAATAATGAGAAACTTGTCAATCATTTATGCAGTGCAGCAATGTACTGAAATAACAATGTTATGCCAGTGGGCGCTGTTCTTTATAGTGCAATACAATGAAATCAAATGATTAATCCCCCCACCCACCACCGCCACCCCATTTGCAGCCATGAGAGCTGTAAGGTTTTAAGCTTGACACAGCAGGAAACTGCCACAGTTTAGGACAGCATCCTAATTGTGATGTTAATGTTCTTCCCCATATATCCAGGAGCTGATTCGTTATTTTGCTAACAGGGGAAGCCCACCAACCCCAATCCTATCAGCAAGCCAACATATGTGGATGGCAGGATGACAAGTTGGATGCATCCAACTAAAATTCCTACTGATAATAGTACAGTGCATGTAATATTCTAGGAACTGTAAGTACTTTATTGTTACCTTCTTACCTAATACTGTGTTGCATTTATGCAACTAAAACCTCATATAAGACACTAAATGGAATACTTAAAAATAGTGTTTATAGTTCATATTATATATACTTATAATATCAGAATAAACCAGGGGGTCTATCTTCACATAAGGAGAGCATGCTGACAATGATATCTGAGCCATATCTGTTATATTGCTACTTAGGATACACTCTATACTTTATACTGATTAAATCACTAAGCAATAAGCTCTTAGTTTGTGTATATTTCCATGGTTCATTGTACATCATTTAAAGCCTCATATTGGGAACATTTACATAAGCAAAAACAGTCCATTCACCACCTTTCAGTCAGGAAATTCGATTCAAGGTTGGAGCCATTTATCAAAACAATAACAGACGTGTTGGTTTTGTAGTTTTTACTGATGCAATGCTCCAACTTACTATAACTACGCTTGATTAAAAAATCCCTGAGCTTCAGATTCCTCCATTTATTTAGATTCCAACATTTAGTGAACTTGAACATATATTTTAATAAAAGTCCAGATACTAATTTGTTACAAATTACACCCAGAGGATGATGTGAAAGTGTTGCAGGTTAAAATTGCCAAGCAGACAGTAATGAAGCATCAAGGACGAAGAGTTTCTTTTATCTTTGCTGTAAGTCATATTGAATGCCACTTCACAGCAGGATGCAGATATCTACGATATGTGAGTCGACAATAGTGGACAAGTCAGGACTTAGATATTTGCAAAGCTTTCCCAGTTTGTATAAATTTGCCTTGGGAATCATTAAAATGAACAAACTTAGAAAAAAACAATACAAATTGAATGAACCCTAAGTTTATTCCTCTCGTAAATGAATACGCAGTCTGTTTTTTAACAAACAAATTCAATTTACAGTGACTCAGAATTAGGAGGCTGTTTGTACTGATTTATAAAAGATAAGCAATTTGGATTCATAGATATACAATACATAAACTGTCCACTATAAATGATGAACAACAACGACTCACTCCTCAGTGTCTCTTTCTATCACTGCCTCCGGTGCCTGTAGCTATACAGCAGCTCGTATATTTGCATGTGACTGCCAAGCAAATTTTATGCGAGCTTTTCGAAATGTCAGTGGAAATAAAACGTGAATTAGGAGTATTTTCCATCACTATGTTGAAAACAAACTGGCATCCCAAATGTCAACAACGAGATCTGCAAGTACATCAGAGAGAATGAGCTGTGTGAACGTGATTGTTGTTACTGCTCAGTGTCACAGCTATTTCATACTTTAACCTCAAAACACAAACAAAGACACGTATACTACTATGTATACTACAGACACGTTAGACAAACTAAAACCACAACTCGTAACGAAACGGCAGGTGTTATTTAAACATAGAACCAGTTAGATACAAACTTCTCTATGAGAAAAACACCAATGGTTTGAATATATTTGATTTAACTGAAATTAAAAATGATACTTCTTTGTAAATAGGAGATCATTGAGTGCATTTTCGCAGTTCCAGCTCGCTCTAATTCGACGCATAATTTACAAAAATGCGTTTTTGTAATAACCACGTCTTTTATCTGTCACTGCATGCTGCATCCTCTTCACATTTGCACGACATTGAATTGTGAACAATTCAGTGGATAAAAGGATGGGGGGGGGGGGGGGGGGGGGGGGGGAAGAGGTCACAGACTGTCAGGAGCAGCACATAAAGAAGCAGAGAGAAATCCACATTGTTTATTGAGAAATGACAGCCAAAGCCAGGGGTGTGGTGTACAAAGAATGAAAAGTCTCATTTTCCAACACTGTTAGTCTGAAGCGGAAATGTACTGAAAAAAGAAGAGAAGAGGTAAACAAGGGCTAGGCAAGAGTACACCAAATGTGACCAGTGAGCCAAAACAAAACTTCTATGCAGTAGATTTATGCTGTCAATGAATATTTATTGATCCTTGTACTGTCAGTATGATGTAAACAGGTGACAGATTTAACGGTGCTATATTTAAATGTGCTGTGCTCATACGCAATCACAGAAGTGTGAGGTTTAGCTTCCTTTGTTGAAATGGTAATTATTATACATTATCATAAACTGGGTCTTACAGCTTCAGCTACAGCACGCAATATATAACAGTGAAGGCTATAAATACATTGTAACCAACAATATGTTTATAGCTTATATTTTCTAAAACATGAGAGTTAAAAACAACCAAAAAACACACACAGATGATGAAACAAGTTGTAAAGAAATCAATAGTGCAGTCAAGACATATTGAGTTGGCACACTTTTATACGTATTTTTTACACGTTGGCACAGGAAAAGAGAACCTGAGGTTTATTAAAAGCCTGTTTGACTGTCGATGGCTTGTTTGACTTTTATTGGTACCGTTACAATTTTGGATCTTATTTTAAAAAGACAGTCACTGACATTTTGTTTGCATCAAATGACTTGCATCAGCTTAGGCATAAACATCAACATCGTAATATTTCTCATTTTCATTTGCTTAAGCAATTTGCTGTATTAGTACTTGCATCTGAAGCTCTAATCCTCCAGTTTTTGGTAGCGCTCTTTAAGCTTTATGGAGATAAAAATGTTCACATACATATTTTTCTTAAAGACACAGTGACATTAAAAATACATTTGTAAGGCTGTAATCCTGCTTCAACAAGTTATTTAACTTGCAACAAGTAAAATTATAATGATTGTGGAGCTTTCGACTTTGAGTCATTCAAGCATAATTCTGAATGATTTTTATTCAAACCCTCTTTCGGCTGTCGCGATCCACATATTTAAGCCACATAGTCTACATCATAATACACAAACTAAAGATCCTCCAACCATCATTTCACTTCACTTTACAGAACATAACTTTAATCCTTTAATTCAGCCTGGAAACAGCGTCGGCCAAACTTCTCAAAACTGCAGAATCACCTTTTAGTAATTGGCTAAACGCACTACTTGGTCGTTTCTGTATTTCCCGCTGCGCCGCTCCTCTTCACACGATGTCCTCTCTCATTTCCCTTTGTGCTTGTTGAAAAGAGCGTAGAGGACTTTCAAGGTTGCAGTGGTGTCCAGAGAGACAATATCTGTCACAATATTCAGAGGAGACATAATCCACATGCAGCATCCTTAAGCCACTGAGGCGGTAAGAATATGCGGACACTTTTTACCAGCATTAGCTAATAGCTACTCTCACAATCCATCCTAAGAGGTCATAGATCAGGAGGACAAAAAAAACATTAGATGGAAACTTAATCAATATGTCCTTGGTGAGATAAGATCCCTACAAAATTGCTCTCTGTTGTGAGATGCTCTGACTGAATGAATGTGACAGAAAGATCGACTTCACCATTGGCTAACCTAATTAATTCACGCAGCATGCTCTCATTTTAGGCCCTGAGAGCTGGGATTCCTCATTCAGTGGCTGCAATTATGCCGTTAATTAAAAAGACACCAAAAATGAATTAAATTACCCACTCGCTCCTGGCACAGATTAATTGTGCTAGTCCTTACATTAACAGTTATCGTGTCGAGGATTTATTTTACAATTACAGGCTCTGTGGCTGGGAGGCAATATGGTGGGACAGCTTTAGCGATCTAAAGAGAGGAAGATTCAAGTTTAGAGGGAAGTTCCTCCTGTCAATAGCGCATCTGCAGGGAAGTGGAGTGAATCTGCTTGCCACTGATTGATTCCCACACTTAGAGGAGTCAGTAACTCACCCGGTCACCTGCTTGATTTCACTCTCCGCCTTATGGAATGATGTAGTCTATGTGACCGAAGGAAATTACCCAAACACACACATGAGCGTTGCTGGTGGCATACGATGTAGTCATACCGCATGAACCCACCACAGATGTATGCTTTAAACTTGAAAATAAACAAAAACGAATGCTGTAGCTTTATGACTTCCTAGAATTTGAACCTTTTCATGTGTACATGTGGCCATTAGAGATCATGAGTATATGTCAAAGAAAGTCGGCATCTTGCATGCTAAATAACATAACATCCATGAGGGCTACCTACAACAACGTCACAAGCAAAAAGTGATTGGCTGTAAGTGCAATTGGCGTTTGGCAAATTCTTTTTATGTGGATGGGGCTTACAACAGCAAGCCTACACCATTAAAAACAGCCCCCAAACACACAAACATGATATTTTGTTATAATAAAAAACTAACCTAAACATACAAAACCTTGATCTGGTTCTTCATCTAATATTGACAAAAATTATGTTTGTAAATATTGAATACAGTTGATTACACACTGTAAAATTCACTAAAGCTGCCATTAATCCATCCATTTTCTGCTGCTTATCTGGGTCTGGGTTGCAGTTTAAGCAGAGAAGCCCAGAGCTCCCGTCTCCCCCAACCTCCTCCTCCAACTCATCCAGATGAGGGGACACCAAGGTGTTCCCATGCTACCTAAGAGATGTAATGTCTTCGGTTTGCCCTAGCTTCGCTCTGAGGCCTTCTCCTGATAGGATATGCCTGAACCACCTTGATTAGTTGGCCCTTCGGATACCCAAACCACTTCAACTGTCTCTTTTCCATGTGAAATATTAGCAGCAGTCTTCAGTAAGACAGATAACACAAATCCATTCAGATAAACACCCACACATTGATATAGCCTAGTAACAGTAACAGTAAGGATCAATCTCTGTGTCTAATCATCTATAGTGATACTCATCATGGCACGAGCGGCGCTCATTCATATTCAGCACGCTATTCCATCTCCCTCTCCAAAACACTCTCAAACTCTCACTCCACGGTGTAGAGCACATTAATTCAGCAATCCCCTTCCTTGCATGACATACAAACACATTTTAGCATTTTTTCCGTCATCCAGATAAATTCTCCTGATAAAGGGCATCATCACTGAATTAGTTTGACATTGGTGTCTTGGAGCGCTGTAGGATTTCATTTTTTCATGGTAACGATCATTTTATCTGCAGGCCTTTTTTCTTCTTCATCATCTGTGCCTGGCATTTCAATCTCAGTAAAACAGTCATGAACAAGTTCTGAGTGTGTTATGTGTGAACAAAGTGGATTTGTCTCACCTTGTGGGTCAACATTGGAGAGCTGAAAGCCTGTATCCTTCAAGAGGTCCAAGGCCAAGGTGACATTATGAAGCTAGAATTTTTTGAAAAAACAACAAAAAAATTTCAAATGAGATAATTCTGCAATGAACCACACTTATTGTAAGACTATATCACATACAACAAAAGCTATATTCTACCCCACTTTTGGTAAAAAAGTTGACTCTGTAACAACAGTAGAGATATTTATTGAATAAACTGTACTTTAGTGCTGAACTTACAATTATGAAGTGCTTTAACTTTAAATTTGAAGATTTCCATTTTATAATACTTGTATATTTTATTCCACTATGATAATATACTACAAGCCTTTTGTACTCTGGTGCTTTTATCGCATAGTAATAGCTATAGGTACTAATTACTTTTAAAATCATACATCTATTTTCTTAAATGCTTTCCCAACTAGGGGCATGGGAGGGCTGGAGCCTGTCCCAGCTAACATCTGGCAAACACACAGTATGCCCTGGAGTATTATACAACCCTGGAAATGTTAGTGGTCCATCACAGGACCAGCACAGAGAAACAGACAATCATTCACACCAACTACAGCTAATTCAGAATCACCAAATAACCTGACATTTATGTTTTTAACAACAACAACAACAACTTTTATTATGGGGACTGTATAATATTCATTTGATCATATCATATCTTTTAATGGGCACTGTTCTGGGTCATGTTTTAGTACTGTATCCAAGTGATCGGCCGGGAATTAGATTGATAGATGATCAGATGAAAAAGTGTACTTCATTCCTAACACTTGTGAACTGAATAAAGGAATTTGTGTGAATGCGTACACTGCACCAAAAATAAAATACGTTTGAACAGAATTTTGAGTTATATTTTGAGAAAATAAAGCTTTGAATGTGGCATGAATCCATATATGTGAATCTATACTTTACCATCTCAGAGTCACTGACAGGGGTCAGGTTGAAGTCAAAGAGCGGGATGAAAAAACCCTCCAACTGTCCGATCAGCAGCAGCAGAATCACACCATCAGCAAACTGGACAGCAAACCCACAGAGCATTGGAACATTGAAAGTGATAAGGGAAGTAATCACTGAGTCTATTTTTATCAAAAGAAAGCCTGTAAGCAGTAGAAGGTTTCCAGCTGTTGGTGTATACCTGTTTGTCCATATCTATCACCTGCAGACCCAGAGATGATATATGCTGGTTGACAAAGTGTACCAGGGCCTACAACAGAGAAATTATAAAACTGTGCAGTTTGAAATGCAACTTGACAATTTAGGGTATCTTCATCAAAACCCAAAGCATTAGTTGGAATGGTTAATATATCAGACTCTTAAAGTAAGACATCTAAACTTGTTCATTCTGCACCTCGTGTAGCTCACTCGAAATCAAGGAAAGTATTAGTCAGCCAGCAAAAAACGACTGCACTTTTAAAATATGAGATTTTTTTGTCTCTTTCTCTCTGTGAGCTGCTTTGTGTCAGCCTATAGCTCATTTCAGACTTTGTTGTCCTGTATTTCAAGTGTTCTCACAACTCTTGTGTTCAGGCATTTAGTTATCTTAGTCAAATATTGGAACTTCTGGCTCCAAAATCCTAAAATTGAGTCTTCAAAACAGGATTTCACTAACCCATGAGTGTTGTCATGGTGGCTACTTCCATTTTTTTACATGCAGTCTGTGAAAATTATTTGATTTTTTTTTTTTTAAAGAAAGAAAGAAAGAAAAAGATCATGCTCAACAGTATTTGAAAATCATCTTTTGCAAAAAGGCCAAAAAGCCTTACAAGCACATTGGATTAAGAGTCCCGTCCTTCACCAGCCAGCTCTGTTCATCTGCCATGTATTGAAGGTTCAGATCAGGCAACAAACACACAGCGTGACATTTATCATTTGTGTTAACACCACTGGAGTTCCTCTCTCTCTAGAGATGAGAAAGTCAACACCTTTAAAAAATCTCGGCACTTCTTTACTTTTTCTGGTGTCCTTGTTATACCTTTTTCACTGTGTTGACCTTGTGAGCCTCAAGCTTCAGCAGTTGCTCGATGGGATCTTCCCCTGGGTGACCAGACAGCCAAAAAAATGTGTTAGTAGGCTGTAATGCTTTTTGGATGACATTCAAGATGTCACATCAGCTCAACCTCTGACCACTCTCACTCACTTTCCGTATTGCTGAGGGAGTCTGTGTCGCTGCTGAAAAGGCAAAAAGGATTTATATATATATATATGAGGTGAGTTTTTCTTCACATTTACAGGATCACACGAGGCAGTAAGCACCTCACCTTCCCTCTGTTAAGATTTCCACTTGCACATCTGATTTGATTCCACTTTTGCTGACCTGGGTGTACAGCACACCACAATGAGCAACAATTACACAAAGTGTGTCTGAAACCATCCTGGAGCAAAAGAAAAAGTGCCAAAGTTTGACAAGAACAACTTACTTCTACGACTACAACTTCAATCTTCACATCAGAGGGCAAATCCAATTCAGGCTGGAAACATCTCACCATGGCAACAAGCAGATGAAGGGTGGCCAGAAGGTCCTTGTTGTGGATGACTGACAGGTAAACAGCAGAGGACCAGACACACACAAAAGAAAAATCGGCCGATGTGATCAAACTCTCAAGCAGGGCACGAGTGTCTTTGATAAATAAGAAACTGACACTTGGCCCCATAACCTACTTACCATTAGTACTCACCAGCAGCTATTTTCAATATCAATCCAGTTTTCAGCAAATCTAAACAATAGCATTTATTTTTATCTATTTATGTCTTCACTCTGTAAGTAAAACTTTCTCCACAGCTAATGATCGGAGCACTCCCATTAAGAACAACTCCATGATGACCCTGTTAGACAATATTACCATATTATATTGACCTTCTTGGTAATATATTATCCTTATTATTACTCCTGTTGCCTAACATTAAAAGAATTTAAATGGTGATGCATGTACAGCCCTATTTTTAGGTTTTTGTTTTTTTAATAAAAGCAACAAGCAAATCCCATAAACTGAGATTTTATTCAGACTAAATCAATTCAATCAATCAAAATTCAGAATGTTTAACATGAGACAATTTACTCTTTTATGAAAACTGTTAGCTCAGCTGCTGCCATCAAAGTCAAAATGACCTTATTTTTTCTTAACATTTTCTCAGTTCATCAAATCATTGGATTTGATTTTTATTTACATTTTACACTGTACACTAACTTTGTTTGAATTGGGGTTGTACTACAGAACAGCAGCAAACATGATTATCACCAAATCATGTTAACTTTTAATTAGCATTCGCACAGATTAGTCTTTTTTGATACGTTTCCCTGTCTTCTATTTGGATTCACCCTGAACAAAACGCAAAGGAAGGCAATGAAAGAAAGTGAAATAATTGTAGTCAAGAATCTGACAGCTGCCCTGCCAGGTTATGTTGTGTCAGCCCAAGAAAGAACATTTTAGGTAAAGTGTTCAGCAGTCTATAAGTTATTTCTCTGCATAACCAAGCAACCAGCACTGACGTGTGATTAAAATGAAACCCTATAATGTCAGGAAATTTTATCTCCACCAAAATCCTGCGCAGTTGGTGTAAGCTTACATGGTACCCTTGTGATAGCACCAAATCCTGTTGAAATGAGAGGGTTGCCAGAAGAGAACATTTGTTGACTTGTTTGTTTGCGAAGCCCAGTCGGCAGCATGACTCACGTTTGACGTTCCATTTGATCTGACTGCTGTCCTGCGTGCCCAGTCTCTTGCCCAGCTCCTCCATGATTATTTCCAGCTTGCGGATCTGAGCTGTGCTGGTCAGCACTATCTCTTCCACATTCAAATGCACGTCGGCCAACCTGGCTGAAGAAATCAAGAAACAACCGAGTATCATTATAGGGTCTGACTGACAACAACCTCCAGCTTTTTAACATAATATCTGTTTGTTTTTCATCCTCTCAGTCAAATCACTATCAAACGCAAGTAAGTATGATAAATGAAATATCAAATATTCATTATCTCACACAGCAGGTGATGAAGTACCAGTCCATCATACACATCCTCCTCCAGACTCTGAACAACGATGTGCTCGGGTTTCAAAGTCTTATTGATCCAATCAACCAGTGCCTACCGAGATATAATTCATCACACGGTCAGAGAAATTATCCGCTTTCATCTTCTTGCATACATTTTTCCTTTATCAGTGTTGCAGATGAAGAAAAAAAACAGCAAGAGACCCTGTTTTTAAAGATTGTGCTTTTGGATCCCGAAACAGATAATAATAATAATAATAATAATAATAATAATAATAATAATAATAATAATAATGCAAGATACAAGTGCTCATCTAAAAGAAAGCTTATATTTCACTTGTTTTCCTCTCAAGTTTACATATAAGACATCAGAATTATTTCAATTTTTCCATTTGTGTGAAACATTAGCGCTGCCCTCTTTACAACAACATGTTTAAAATTCTGATCCAGCAGAGTCTGCTGGCTCCTCGCCGTGACATCTGTCTCCCATCTTCTCTTATAATTATGCTCATTAAAATTTCACCCATCCTCACACCTTATTCCTGTATGCAGCCCACTAAAGACACAAAGGTAATCTCAGATCTGCGGCTGTCCAGGACGGGCGTTTGATGTTACAGTAAATGTGAAATAGAAGAAAGCGAATCCGACATGTGCAAGGCAGGGATTCATTTCTTACCTCCTTCAGCTTTTCAAGTTTGGGGTCTTTTAAAGATGTTGGTTGTATGAGTTTCCTCTTCTCCCCTGTAATGGACATGAAAACAAAACTGCGCTAGTCTCTTACGTCACCCAAAGTGCATCTGATAGCTCTCTTTAGAATTTCTGCTTTGAATATTTCAGTGATAGGTTTTACATGTTTTGGCAGTACCACTATGTTTGCTGCTTATTCACATATACTTTGAGGTTGGCCATTTTCAAATGCATTCCCTTCATACATCCAGCCCTCCCGAGCAACATAGAAATCAGCAGAGCCCGCAAAGCTGTTTCGGTTAGTCTAATCTATCTCGGCAGAACTTCTAACTTGGCAATATAATTAAGCTGCGAGAATCATAATTTTATGTGGAGTATGGATCAAAGAATTATTCGAAATCTATTGCTTTACTTAGAAAGACAAGCCCACTCCAACTCTGCTGTATGGAGCGTCTTGCATCTTTATGCAATGCTTTTGAATTGTGGCCAATTTCAGCTCCCAACAGAACTGCTTTCTCGATGAAGTCGGTGTCTTATAAACCCATCATTCGGTACACAAAAACTTTGATACTAGCCGGGGAACATAGTGGAGGATTCAGCAAATTAAAAACCAGATATTCACCCCAGGAGGTGGCAGAGACCAGAGCACACCAGATTTCACATGAAAGAGAATACAGGACCTAAACTCATTTCCTCCATGTCTGCTAAATGTGTAAATGAGCAACTGTCACCTTTCAAGTTCACAACATCAGTGCCCCCAAATGATCCGAAGGTCATGTCCTGCAGGTTTAAATGATTACAGATAGACTGGACACGTCTATATTCATTATCCTCATTATATAATATTGGCGAAAGTCTAATAGAAATGCACGAGGCAGACACGATTTTCAATATGAGGTCACTGGGATGATCTTTTACATGTGCCACATGAATCACTGATGACTAAGATTGACCTTTTGAGTAAATGCAAACATACCCTGAAAAGACTCAAGTTCCACAGGCTCTTCTTCTTTCTGATAATTAAAGATGTTCTCCTCCATCATTCCTCTGCAAAGTGATATCTTCACCTCTGCTGACCTGTCAACACATTTACATAAAATTACAACAAACTACAGGAATTTCTAATACACAGTGTATGATATCAATACAAGATCAAGCAGGGTTCTCAAAGTTTTAAAGATCGAATAGCGGTGTACCCCTCTTCTCTTCTTCCAGCTCAGAGGATGATTTACATTAGAAACTATTGTTTTTAGATATTTGTTAAGTATTGGTGAGGTAGAACTTCTTGACACCAGCTGATTTTGTTGGGGGGGGGGGGGGGGGGGGCGCGCAAACAAGAGGCAAACCAGACATTTTTCTGCATGGGCCCAGAAGAACATCTACAAAAACAGTGTAAGCTCCATTGTTCCATCTACAAACCAAATTTTGAAAAGATTTCCATGCAAAATAAATGAGTTTGGATTCATTTGAACAGAGGTGATGTCTTGTGGTCTACTAATTAAAACTGTACATTTTTTTAGACATGAATACAACATCTGGATTAAAGGGAACATGAACCGTTCATATAAACAGCAAACAGCAAACTTGCAAACTTTGAGAAGGGTTTATTAATGCTAAAAGGTACAGAGTTTCATTGTTTGCATTGTTGTCCAGATGTCCTTTTCAAGAAGACCCTGCTTATTTTGGCTAAACAAAGTCAAACCACACTCTGCACAACAGCATGACTCCTTATTAAAATAGTCCAGATGGTAAAATCACCTTCCTCTAGTCAGAATAGTCAACTATTGAAAATATTGGGACCGTTCAATTTCCTACTTTGATGTAAAATACAAAGAGGAAGATAATAATTCTATTTCAAGCAAGAACAGAAAAACATTTTACTTTCAATCAGTTGGTCTTAAGACTTACCACATGCTTGGACTGTTATTAAAAGACACCCAGCAGGAAACATAGCCCTAATATAACCTCTTCCAAAGCATGTTGCTGGCTTCAAATTCAAAATGTGCATCTCTTTTTTTAAACACTTCGCAGTTTTACTATTTGTCTTTGCACCCCAAAGGCAAGGTTTAAAGGATGTGCAAATCACTGAATTCTGCTTTCATCACAATACACAATTTGTACACAATTTGTTCCAACTTTCTCAGGGGGGAAAGTGGGTTGTAAAGCACAGAAGAATGAAGAAACACTTTCTCTATGAATATGTTTGGCAGAAAATACTCTCAGTGGTGCCTCAGTAAGTCCGGAGCCATACTGCTCAGTTTTCAGCTGGTTTTGAGGACTGACCAGCAGTGAAAAATGCCGGCTGTGATGGCAGACAGCTTACCTTTGAGAGGAAATCTTGTATCTCAGAATTGTTGCTTTTAAAGTACAAAGACAAAAACAGCCTTGTGCTCAGCTCAGCCACACAGAACTTCTAATGCAGGTATATTACTCTGACTGAAGGTGTTACACGTTTCTAAAAACACAGAGAAACGGAAACTGATTGGGTTTGGAATCGATCTGTTCCAAAAACACGTTATACCAAAACAGGAAGCCACTTAACTTCCTCACTTCTTTTTTTCCCTTTTCTTTTTTTTCTCAACGGCAAACTCATTAGATCAAGAACTTCAGGTCCCTGCAGAGTTACAGGGGCTGGTCTTGTTTCTGTGAACATTTTGAATCATATGGCCTGAGACAAAGCACAGCAAACACATAAAGCAACACACTCTGACAAAACAGACGTGACCTGGAGCTTGTCAAACGGTTGTTTCCTGGATCTGTGGAACAGAAACGCCTCGGTGAGCAACTTCTCTTTCTCTGGGTGTTTAGATTGTGTGTGGCTTCCTTTTCCTGAGGTTGACAGTAACTTTCAAACAAGGTCATAAACAAAAAGTCTTTTTGAATAAGCTTACCTTCAGCACTCTGGGAGCGACTCGGCAGAATTGAGTTCCTTAGCTGATGTCAACTCCACAAAGTGTCAAAACAGCGATATATCAGAAGTGGAGGGCTGTACTCAATCTGAATAGACTCTTGTTATTTCTATCAATGCAAAGGTCTGGCTGTACTCAATTTGAAAACTGTTGGCTTGAAAGAAAATAACATGTCACAGGGTTGAAAAGGAAGATAAGCGCATGAGAGGATGTGGCAGAGAAGAAGATAGCACTTCCTCTTTTTGATATTGGCTTCGACGCCGAGCGTTTTCTGATAGGAGCGTTTATGCTCTGTGACACGAACCCTGGATAAGACTTTAATAATAAGTAGTCATTGAGCGAACAAGAACAGGGAAGACTCTTGGGTATAAGTGTATTGTTTTGAAAACTACACTTCAGGAGGGCCGTGAGAAGCGTGACACTCAGAGGCCTGAACCACTCAGGCTCGACTCACACATCTCCATCTGTGACCACCCGGATCAATTTGCCGTCATCTGGCCTTCTCGGTTACACAAACACATTAAAAGGAAAAGAAAAAGAAAAGCAAAGATAGACAACAAAACAACGACCTCTGTCTGTGCACTGGCCTTGTTGAAGAAAAGAAAAAGGACCACTCATCAGTCAGACGAGGGGCAATTTAGGGGATGTGGAAGGTTACCATAGCAACAAAGGAAAGAGACAAGAAAATAAAGGCCTAAAATAAACCTATAATTCCTTTAGCTAAACCCAAATTGAAGGAACTGTCTGTTCAAAAGCCAATCTCGCTCAGAAAGCCAAAGCAAATTTAACCAATCTCACAAGCAAGAGATAAAATAAAATTCCCATTCTGCTTGATTCCACACATTTATTTTTCTGATAGCCTAGATTAAACAGAAAAAGAAAAAAAATTCAGACACACACTGGTGAACCAGCCAGTGTTAACTCTGTCTGAATTGACTCATCCATTCTCTCAATAATTCAGACCGGCTCGAAAATGCATGAGCAGTCGTGCACTGTACATCTTAGCAGGTCTTGAGGTGGCACCACAGGGCCAGCTCTGCTTCAGGAGAGTAGTAATAGGTCCGGGTCTCCTTGGAGAGCTGTCTGAAAGGCTGGTCAATATAAAGATACTCTGACTCTGACTCTCCTGGGACGGCAAGAACACACTGCAGTCAAGGCAGGAAGCAACAGCATGAACTTTTAAATATGATTTAAAATATGCGTACTATGCATAGTTCAGAGAAAACATGCTATTAAAGAGTATAGTATAGGAATAACATGGAACATATTAATAATGTACAGTAAAAAGAGGTAAAAAGAAAGTAAACCATTCTTCAACTTTAAGATTTTATGTATCAGGACTTTTTGTTAATAATTTGTTCTAAATCAGGTCTTAAAATTGTTTAATTACAGCCTTGGATTAACAGCAACATGACACACCTTACCTTATCGTTATTTATGTAGCAAAAAAACAAGCCAAAACACAAAAGCAGTGTGTGAAAAAGTACACCCTTACTGTTTCAAAAGCAATTAAGAAGGTAGGTAGGCAGCCAGGTGCTGCCGATCAATGCAAAAACTGTGAGCACAAAAGAAGAGGTTTTGGCAGTTTGTAGATTTGGAGTATTCAGGTATGTGTTATTACAATGCCACAGGGGGAAAGACATCAGCAGTGATTGTAAAGAAGCAACTCTTGCCAATTTCCAAACAATTTGTAGTCAATCATTGTATAATAAGAAAAAATCTTCACAAGTAGAAAACATTCACAGCACTTACCAATCTACAGGGCTCGGGGAAATTGCAAAAGAGAAATAAAATGCTAGAGCTTTGCAAAGTTGCATTCAAACAAACCACAAGCCATCTGGTACAATGTCTTTTGGACAGATAAGACCAAAGTGGAGATGAAATAAAAGCATATCAGTATAAAGACTTCATACCAACTATTAAGCACAGTGGTAGAGGGTAGTATTCTAGAGTCAAATGGTAAGGCCATCTGTCTGATAGTCAAAGCTTGACCTAAAGTGGTTGATGCAACAGGACAATGATACCAAAAAGAGCAGCAAATCTACAACAGAATGGCTGAAAAAAGAAAAAAAAATCAAACCTTAAAAGAACTGCAATGCCTGCAAACCTCAATGAACTGAAGCAGCATTTTAGAGTTTGCAGAAGTAGAAGAGTGGGATAAAATTCCTCCAAAATGACATAAGATTAGTTCTTACTTTTTCACACACTGTTTCTGGATTTAGGCCTAGCTTTGTTAAACAAATACTAGTAAATGGACTTATACTTATATGGTGCTTTTCTATTCTATTTGAGCACTCGAAGCAGTCTCTTACTAAGAGGCTCATTGACAGACAGACAGACACACACACATTAAGACAAGGTTTTTTCTATGTGAAGCAAAGAACCTTTAACTTAACACTCTCTCATTCCAGTGAATTGGTTGGGGGCAACTTGGGATTCAGCATCTTGCCTCAGGATATTCAACATGCTTCTCTCAACTGTTTCCTTGTTTCAGTCTGAGTGAAGCTAAGCTAAGCTAATTGACTGCATGCATAAAGAAGAGTTGCAAAGATCTTCTTACTGAATTCTTAGAATTTTAAAAGGTTTAATAGGTTTTCAAATTACTTAAACACTGGAAGCAGCATAACACAGTACACACATCATCCAAAAGCAAAGGCAAAATTATTCAGTACTTAGTTAAAACTTTGTTAGGGTCTCACTTACTTGTAACTGATAAGGTTTCAGTGTCTCCTGGCTCTCAGGCACATCCATGGCTCCCTCATCACATCTGGTGCCAAGATGGCAACAGCTGGAACACCAAACTCAAGGCTTTAAAACGACAGGCCACAAACCAGCTGCTGACACCAAGATAGCTGCTTTCACCTCCTGCCATCCTTTTGTGGCTTTTAAATGTATTTGTTCATTAATCCATTTTCTTAATTCCATATTCAATTCAGAGTTGCAAGGGGCAGGAGCCTCTCCAACAACCCTGGATGGGTTGCCAATCTGTTCCAGGGCTAACACATAAAGACAGACAACTGTTCACACTCACATTCACACCTATGCCCAATTTAGAATCACCAATTAAGATAACCCCATGCATGTCTTTGGAGTGTGGGAGGAAGCTGGAGTACCAGGCAGACACACAAAGAAAGGTCCAGTTGGATTCTAACAATTTGAGCTATTTAATTGTAAAGTTTTATCATCTACAGACTGCAAATATTCAAAACAAAATATAATTTATATATAATTACAGTATGCTGTATTGTTTAATGACAAATTTTTATTTGTACTTTATACAAGAACAAATAATGGATTAAATAAAGGTTATTCAAAGGCACCATGGATGTATTTTCTTCATTTTTAGGTAATTTTCTCAGTTTCGGTGTATTTTATTATAGGGTGTTCTATATTTAGCCTTAAATGACAATATGTTGTCAACTTGAAACCTTTCTCCTAAACCTCACAGACCAAACTTTCTACATAAAACTTTTTTTGTGAAGGTTAAACAGAAAATGTGTAATTTTTCTGGATTTTATGGACACGAAAATTTCCGATATACTCATCAAATTTTTTTCAAAGAAAATAGCTAATGATTACATTCATATTTATGAAAAGCATTCTAAGACACTTGATAATATATTACAGCATTTTATAATTTTTTATAATAATCTACGACGGAGCGTAATGAGTTCAGTATGACACACAAACGTTTTCCAGTTTTAACATTTCCCCGTGATTGCTATGTATTCAAATGCAGGGCTAAAGGTTGCAGAGTTTCCTGGGTTGCAGTTAACATTCGAGGAGGGAAAAATAAATACTGACATTTGGGGAAGATTAAATACTAGCGTTCAGAGCCTTTTTTCTGGCTAGACCCCCTGGGGCTTTTTAAGTCCCACATAATGATGACTTTCAGTCCCAGTTGGTCTCCTACAGTGTCCAGACTGTAATGTATAATATCAGTGCAGGCACAGGGCAGTGTTCAGGGTAATGCCAGGCGTTAAAGACAGGAAAAGCTCATGCAGAGGTTTTGTAGTTGGTGAATAGATTGTAAAGGACTCTGAGGGTGGACTTCAGGTTCAGGTTGACGACATCTAGAAAAGAAAAAGCAAAGATTATTGAAGTCTGGTGTCCCCGAACTGGTTTGGGGAAGAAAACGATTTCCTTGTCTTGGCATGTTTGATAATTATCTTAATAAGAAAAATTGGATGGCTGGAATACTGAAGAACAAAATAAATAGCTATGCTACCATAAAATCAGATTTAAAATGAAAAGGAGCCAGTTCTATCATTGCTGTTAGACTGTTTCCCTCAAAAGGTTATTTGTAATTTTGGAAACTAAATGGTGCTTAAAATATCTCCCAAAACTTTGCAAATTATCCTTAGATGATGTATTACTTCTTACAAAGAGATTCAAAGGCACAAAAGGACTTTCTGTTCTCTCTGCAAGCATCACGTGTTCTACATGAGAGCTTATTTGATTATTAGAATTTACCAAACTAGCCTGCCTTAACAGAAACTGAACATTCAGCTTTCCCTGTTTGGGGCCTCCTCTCTTGTTTACAATGAACCCACAGATGTGGAAACGACAACCTTTACACTGATCAGAGCATTTATACTGCATGCTGTGCGCAGTGCAGTAAATGCTTGAATAAGGTATGCCTCTAAACACAGATATCAAGGTTTTTTTGCTCAACTGTGTCTTTCAATATCTACATTAACCTGTCACTTCATTAGGTACACCTTGCTAGCACTGTGTTGAACCCCGTTTGCCTTTAGAACTGCCTTAATTATTAATGCCATAGATCCAACGCAGTGCCAGAACATTCATCAGAGATCAGAGATTGGTCCATATTGACATGATAGCATCACACAGCTGCTTCAGGTTTTGCCAGCTACACATCCATGATGTCAGTCACCTGTTCCACCACATTGCAAAGGTGCACAGATCGAGACTGTGGAGGTCATTTGAGTTCACTGAACTCATTGTCACTTTGAGATGATCTGAACTTTGTGACATGGTGCGTTATCCTGCTAGAGGCACTCGTGAGAAGAAGGGTAGACACTGGTTATAACGTGATAGACATGCTCAACAACAACACTCAGGGAAGCTGTGGCATTTATGCTTTAATGCTGTTTATCCCAAATTTGTTGCCTTCCTATCACCTCGAGGCAGTCTGGAGATTTTCCTCTGACCTCTGGCATCAGCAATGTACTTTCTTTTTTTTTTTTTCAGACCATTCTGCATAAACCCTAGAGATGTTTGTGTGGGAAAATTACAGGGGATCAGGAGTTTCTGAAATACTCAGATGAGCCTGTCTGGCACCAACAACCATGCTACGTTCAAAGTCACTTAAATCACCCTTTCCCCCCACTGAACTTCAGCAGGTTGTCTTGGTTGTCTACATTTCTAAATGCACTCAGTTGTTGCCATGTCATTGGCAATTTGAGTTAACAAGCAGCAGAACAGGTGTATCTAATGAAGTGGAGTATGGTGTATATGCAGTATTTGTGAATTTGCAGTATCCGACAAGCCTATGCAGGCTTGCTATAGCTATTCATTCATTTCATTAATTCATGAATTTGTTCATTGATTTTTTTCTTTACAACAGGAGTTAAAAAAAACCTTGACTAATCACTGAAGGGAAATTCTTCAGCTACAGCTGCAAAGACTGCAAAAGCTGTGCAACTAAATTAACAAGAAAAAAAATACTATTGGTCAAATTTAAATTCAACACAAAGAGGAATTCTGCATGGCAACACAATGGAAAGAAGGAACCGTTGCAATGCTCAGTGGAAGACTTCACCTTAAATTTTGTTCAAGTGATCAATCCGCTGTATCAGATAACATAATGAATACGTTTTTTAACCAAATTCAGACCTTAATGATTTCAAAAGACTAAAATATGACAAATTAAGGAAATCATTTGTCATATTTTGGTCATAAAGCAATAAAGTCTTATTCAATTCATTTTAATTTCCTTTAATCTCTAATAAAAGATATGGATATGACTACAAAATGCAACTTAGAGCTGAACTAACTCAGCAGCAGCTATCCAGTTTTAGAGTGTAAGACAAGGTTTCCACCTACTGGACAACTTTTAAAATTACTGCTGCTGTAGCAGATCAACAATACTAACCCTGTAAATTATGCGATTATGTAATACAACAACAAATACCTTCTGGTCTGGCTTTGGGTTTCTTTAGGCCTCCTTCCTGCATCAGCTCAAAGGCAAATGCCACATTGTGGACCTTAGAGGGGAAATAAAAATGGCAGTTAAAAGCGACTTTCATCACCTGCTAAAAATCCTAGTTTGACTTTTTAATCTGAAATCACCTTCTGCTCAAAACTCTCAGGCGTGAGGAAGAAGTTATACAGTGGGACAAAATAGTCTTCCAGCAGCCCCATCAGTAAAATCAGGTAAACTCCATCAGCAAACTGGAAACACACACACACACACGAATATTGCACATTCTTTAAAATAAAAAACAAGCACACTCTGCTCAAATAAATATTATATTATATGAAAATCACAATCTGAACCAAGGATAAAACATGCATGAAAAATTCATAGATTGTCCTTTGACTTTGATAATAAGGGCCAAAGGTTCTACAGAAATCTTTTTACCTGAGATTCCAGCTCAGTAACTTCCAGATTCAGCTTGTTTAGGTGTTTGTTCACAAAGGTGATGAGTGACTGGAAGCACATTCAGATCATTATTAAGTATTACAACATGACTGCCAACACATGCAAGTCCTAGACATTATTATTGTAGGAAGGAAAGGTATCCTTTTTTTTTACCGTTTTTACCACGTTAAGCTTGTCAGGTGCATGATCCAACAAAGTGTCAAATGCATCTCTCTCTGTGGCGAAGAGAAAAAAACATCACGGTTAAAAGTGTTTAAACGGTTTCATATTTTAGGAATTGTCAACCATGTCAAAAAGAAGACAGATACCACTATAATCTCCCACCTCTATGTATAGACCTTAGCTGATTGGTTTAGATCAGGAGATCTGATTGGAATATGGTGTCAAAAGGTCTGTTGCCTGTCTGTCTTTTGCTATTAAGAGTCTTCTTTGTTTAATTTTTACTTAAAACTTATTACTGTCATGTTTTGACCTATTCTACTGTGATTAACATAAGGCCGAACTCATCATCAATGATAATCTAAGCTCTAAGCCCAGATCTATAATCCCAAGCCTATGGACAGGCTTGGGATATCACTGGGTGATATCACTGCCTGAACTCTCTTACGCAGCTTTCTTGTCATTTCTTTAACTATTCTTCAGCAATAGTTCTGCAGGTTCTAGAAAGACGTTCAAAGCTCTTTGGATGTTGACTCGCTGCCTTTTGTTCTGTTCTTGTGTTGAGTGTTGCAGCCCAAGCTCTGAGGAGGCCAATCCATGAGTAATAGCGATCTATTATTTTATTTTTTATGCTTTTACTGCACTGGTAGTGTGTTTGAGATTATTGTCATGCTGGAAAATGAAGCTGTTGCCAATCAGAAACTTTACAAATGCTACCGCATTGTGAATCAAAATCTGATGTTCCACTGTCACATGTCTGTAGACACTCACTGTTTTACCTCTCTCCTTACTTCCTCCGCATATAGTGATGATAATCTGAACCAAAAATTAGATATTTGAAATGATCACTCCATAAGACCCATATCCTCTGATTTTCAGTCCAGTAGTTGTGTCATCTGGCACACCTCAGCCTTTTATCTCTGTTTCGCTTCTTGAAGAATGGCTTCTTGACAGCCACCCCTCCGTTTCAGACCATTTTAGAAGGCTTCAGTGAACAGCAGATGGATCAACTGAAAGTCCAGATGCATCGCTAAGGTCTTTGCTGGATTTTTGCCATTTCTAAAGGAAATGACTTTCAGTCATGTTTATCTCCTGTAGATCATTTTTAGGCCTGTCATTTCTCCTCTTGTCCTCCTCGTTTCCAGTTTCTGAACAGTTTTTTTTTAAACTTCAGATATGTCATGTTTTCAATTAATGGCTCTTTTGGAAACACATTGTTGGTCCAAGAATATTATTTTGTATTATGTGTTTATGTAACAGGCTGCTAGCAAAAATTTCCCTAAAGATAAAATTTAAAATAGTTTCTTTGCTGAGTTGTCTGATATGTGTAGACACACCACTAGCTCATCCCTTAGTTAGGTGCCTTTTTAAAAAAAACTTGAATGATTCATCTGTTTGTCTTAAACAACTAATATTAACTAATGTACTTGCTTTTTATTCACTAAAAAGAACAAATACATTCCTCTGAAATTGGTAAAAGGACTGGTTCCTATATAGCGTTTGTTACTATATCTGAACTCTATACAACATGCCTCATTCACTCAAGACCTTTTTTCTATGTCTAGGTGCTTTTCATCTAACACACTGATGGATGCATCAGAGAGCAACTTGGGGTTAGTATTTTGCCTAAGGATATTTGGCATGCAGACTCAAACCACTAACCTTCTAATTAGTAGAGGACCTGCTCTACCTGCTGATCTACAGCGACCTCAAACTGGTTACGTCTGGACTACAAATGAGTGAAACAGCAGCCAGTGTCCAAAGAAAAACCTTGAAAGACATCCAGAAAACCTGGAGAACTATTACTCAAGACCACTTTCAAAAAAATATAAGCCTGCCTCCTTGAAAGCAAACTAAAACGTGCTTGTTTATGACTCTCATATAGTATGATTTCCATTAGGTAAAGCAGGGGTGGGAGAACTCCAGGCCTAAAGGGACGGTTTCCTGCAGGTTTTAGATGTGTCCTTGATCCAACACAGCTGATTTAAATGGCTAAATTACCTCATCGGCATGTCTTGAAGTTCTCCAGAGGCCTGGTAATGAACTAGTCATTTGATTCAGGTGTGCTGACCCAGGGTGATATCTAAAACCTGCAGGACACCAGCCCTTGAGACCTGGAGTTCCCCACCTCTGAGGTAAAGGCTGGAGCCAGGCTAAGTCTTTACTGAGCTATTAATATTTCATTTATAAAAATAATTGAACATTTTCCCAAGATAATGATTGTTTTAACAAAAATAATAAATGCTAAATAAATGAAGTTCAGTATTTCCACAGTGTTAAAGAGATGTGTTCAGAAGCTCACCAAATCTTCCCATCATCATTCTGAAAAACAAAAAATGAGAAGAAAATATCAACAACAATTCTTTTTCTCTGTGCACCTCGTTTTCTAGCCTCCAGTTATGATGCAATGCATCAGATGCTAGTAATACTTAGAAGCATAACTACTAAGAATCAGCTCTTACTCTGTGGTGCTCGTCAGCTCCTTGGTCATTAGAGCTGTCTGTAGGATGCCTTCTCGTTTCTGCACAGACATGCGATAAATTCTACTGATTACATTATTACATGAGAGAATAAATACATTTGATGATACACCATTATGATAATCACATGGGCAGTAAAAAAAAAAAGACAGAAAGATGAAGAGAGATAGAAACAGCTGTCACATGCCTCATTGTATCATATTTTGGATTGGTCTTGGCTATTTGTGTTTTTACACAGCTCTTTAGTTGATGTAAGATACCATCAAAACAATTTCTAATGATTTATTTGTGATTTTTAAAACAAATCTCTACTTGTTTCCATTTTCTCTTATTTTGGTTGTAACTCAATTTAGTGTAATTCAATTTTATTTATATAGCACCAAATCACAATGGCCACCTCCAGATGCTTTATACTGTAACATAAAGACCCTACAATAATACAAAGAGAAAAAGAACCCCATTAGCAAGCACTTGGCAACAGAGGGAAGGAAAAACTCCCTTTTAACAGGAAGAAACCAGGCTCAGGGAGGGACACAGATGTAGGGAAACTGATGGGAGACTTTACCTTGACCACCACCACCTGTACGGAGACGTGCTCGGGCAGCCTGATTGGGGCCTGGAAGTGCATAGCGAGAGCCACCAAAAGATAGATGATAGCCACCAGGTTCTTTGAGTGGATAGCTGTAAAAATAAATAAAGTGAAGATTAAACCCTCTTTCAAAGAGCGAGTTCACATAAAAATGTAAACAATTTTTGAAACTTTTGAAAAAACACCACTTTTCAAAAAGAAACACCGAAAACCTGCAGCTGACAAAGGATAAAGCACGACTTGGTGTAGTAAAGTCATTGTTAACAACACAAACTAAAAGTGCTGATGGACTCACATATTGTCTCTTGTGAGGGGGAGTATTATTCAGATTTTACAATCTTTTCTGTGGCTCTGACAGAAGCCTTTCAAAGTCTGAGAATAAAATCCTAATGATGATGATGACTCATGGTGATTATCATATCTTAGGATGGATGCAGTTGAAAGATTTTTGTTAGGAAGTAAACATCTGATGAAAGATGATGAAAATTCCAAATATATCAACCTCTAATGCTTCAGATGTTTTCTATGTTCCTTAAGAGTTCTGTAATTCATGCATATCACTGAAGTCAGCACAAAAACTCACAGTCTACACTCCACTCAACGGTCCAGCCATGAGGCCTCAGCACATCGTTGACAGCTTCTAACACCGTCTGAAGCTTCTGTTTCTGGCCAATTTCTGACTGCGTCACCTCCGCCACGTTCAGCTTTCTGCCTGACAACTTTTCTGTCGCAAAAACAGGAAAAAGTTGTGTTTTACCACATAGAGAAAAGTAAGAAAGCATCGAAAAATTAGAAGCTAACAGATTAGGTCTAGTTAAAAAAAAATGAAATAAATAGACAGAAATATCCTTTGCAGACAACAATGTGGATCTATAAATGCAGACTAACTCTGTGAGGCTAAATTTTCACAAAGAACCAAAGTGAGAAAGGAGCGTGAAAACTAAATGCAAGAAATCACACATCAAAATTCACAGAAAATATTTTCTTGCTGTGCATTTTAACTGTTGTTCTTAACACTTCAGGAACATATGCAATTATGTATGCATTTTGTATAAACTGCTTCTATCTAGATAGATAGATAGTAGGTAGTAGGGGTGCAACAATACTCGTATCGATATTGAACCGTTCGATACAGTGCTTTCGGTTCGGTACGCATATGTATCGAACAATACAAAATTTTTAATTTATTTTATCAACTTTTCTTCTGACGATGCTGTCTGTGTTGAGCGCTCAGTGGATCTGCGTTCGACTACTCCGCCTAGGCTGCACTGTCGAGTGCAGATCCACTGAGCGCAAGCTAGCGAGACAGAAGTTAAGCTCGTGGCAACGTGGCAAATTGAACCTCCCCCACCCTCATTCAGATCTGGCCTTTGGAACTATTTTGGTCTTCATGTGAAGCATGACCCTGAAGGTAACTGTCATGGACAAAAGTAAAACAATATGTCGGATGTGCCACGCAATGCTCAGTTACATTAGTGAGAACTACTGCGTTAGCACAGTTAGCTCGTTAACGTGTTGGCCGTCCAGCCCCACGCACGGGCGATTCGCTATAGCTCGTTAACCGAGATTTTCCGTGTTGTGCCGTTAACGTCATTTCAGATTAACGCTGACAGCACTAGTGGGAACACAACGAATATGACTGCACATTTACTCCGATAGCATCCTAGTGCAAAGACAAGTGGAAGCAGACAAAAACAACAAGCACGCATGCTACAAACTTTACCCGAGTCATTTAGACAGCCGTTAGCACATGATTCTCCTTATGGGGACCTGATATGTTTAATATGCTGCTGAGAATATAGCCCAGAAGAAGCGGATAGTATAGCTTTTATTTTGGAAAGAGACATTTCTCTGTAATAAACTCTCTTTTCCAAAGATGAGTGATTCCTCAATCAGATAGATTTATTTTTTATTACTTTGTTGTTTCAGCAACATTAAATTTAAAAACTGTACTTTTCAGTTAAAATATATATTTATAATTTTAATAAATGACAAATTAAAAAGGCATGAACATTTTTTTGTATCGAAAAAAATATCGAACCGTGACACCAAAGTATCGAACCGAACCGTGAATTTTGTGTATCGTTGCACCCCAGATAGATAGATAGATAGATAGATAGATAGATAGATAGATAGATAGATAGATAGATAGATAGATAGATAGATAGATAGATAGATAGATAGATATTGTAACTGTTATACAATTAGTTGAAATGCTGATTTGTTAGTGTTTAACAGTTTTATACTGTAATGACAGAATCCAGTCACAAGGGGGGATCCAAAGACCTTACTAGACACTGCAGCACAATGAAGAAGACACATTTCAGGCAACAAAGGAATGTTTATGTTGTTAACACAGTATATTAAACATGTATTTTACTATAGTGTAACTCTAGAGATGTTAATGTTTATAAAGTGTTCACAAAAATGTTTCTACAAGCAGAATCCTGAATTGAATTTATGATACTTCTCATCACATAATAACAACATAAAAATAATCAGACCCCATCTTATCTTAAAGACCACAGGGTATCATTTCACCCCAATAGGAGACTTTGTTCATAGCCTGCAGGCGTACTTGTAGTTCCTAGAGTATTTAAGTGTAGAATAGGAGGCAGAGCCTTCAGCCGGCAGGCCCCTCTTTTGTGGAACCAGCTCCTAGTTTGGATACAGGAGACAGACATCCTTTCTACTTTTAAGATTAGGCTTTAAAACTTTCCTTTTTGATAAAGCTTATAGTTAGGTCTGAATGAGGTGATGATGAATGCTCCCTGAATTAGGCCACGGTTGCTGGGGACTTCCCATGATGCACTGAATGTTTCTTCTTCACTCATCTTTTTTCCCCCTCTCTCACCCACAATATCTTTACACACTAGTTACTACACTTTAATCATCAGTTGTTAGTAATCTGTCTTCCACAGTGTGTCTTTGTCCTGTCTTCCTCCCCTCACCTCCAACCAGTGGCAGGAGACAGCTGCCCCTCCTCAGCCTGTTTCTGGGAGAGCTGTCTTCCTCTTAAAAGGGAGTTTTTCTTTGCCATTGTCGCCAAAATGCTTGCTCATAGTGAGCTGTTGGGGTTTTCTTTGTTTTTCTCTGTATTATTGTAGAGTCTTTACATTGCAATAAAAAGCACCTTAAGGCAACTGTTGTTGTGAGTTGGTGCTGTATAAATTAAATTAAATTAAATTAAATTAAATTAAATTAAATTAAATTAAATTAAATTAAATTAAATTAAATTGAACTGAACTGAACAACATTCATGCTCAATGCTCAACCAGGATAATATAACTTTAGTGGGTATTAATTCAGCTGTTTTTTTTAATTCAATTCAATTTTATTTATATAGCGCTAAATCACATTAGCAGTTGCCCCAAATTTATACTGTCACCATTAGAAGATAACACTGCAGTACTACTTCAATAAGAAATCATCATGCAATAGGAAACTCTCGAATATAACCAATGTTTGGTTTATTGAAAATGCATAGTTTAACTAAAGCAACAGATTGCAACAACCAGCCAATTACACCATCCATAATTGTGATATATTTTGTTTGTGTTAGTGCAGCTAGTTCTAGCATTAATGTTGTGCTGTTGTAAGTTTGATGTTAGATGAAAGTTTATGATTAAACTTTGCATTTTCAATACACTCAGTGCTGACAGAGCGCATTTATTTGATATTTTCTAAAACTGCAAATATTGTAAATCATGATCAGTGATTTTGAGAGGAATCACTCTCACCAAATAACTTCTGGAGTACTTGTCCATCATAACAGTCCTCCTCTAGGTCCTTGACTATGATCCTCTCTTCCTCCAACTCACTGTTGATCCAGTCGATCAGGACCTGGATGCACATCAGAATACAATCGAACTTTGAACAGTTTCTGTACTCTTGTTCTTCTCGCATGATTTTGTCATTGTTCTGATCGCACTGAATCAATGCAGAGATGCTTATGCACAGAAGGTTAAACCAAATCTACCTTTAAGAGATCTTTAAATTTAGGATTTTCCCTTGATGTTGGGTCCAACATGATCCTCTCAGCATTTTCCTCTGTGGAAAACAAAATAATTGTTTATACTAGCATATATAATTTTTCTTCTTTCCAACTTTAAATGTTTTAACAGCTTTTCAATTGTAGGCATAATAATGTCTCACACAAGTACAAACTTCAAGCCACAAAAATTGAATATACAGTGTTCACCCTCACACTCCTGTCAACAGTGATTCACAGTGAAGACAAAGGCGTTTCCACTCCACCCACTTTCATTTCCTGCTGCTTCACTGTCAAACTCCCCATTAGTCAACATGTGTCAACATATTCATATTATGGTTTGTAACCCCAGTAACCTCTGACACCCAGCAGCAAAAACAGCATTTTGTTTTTGCACTGAAGTAAGATTAAGTCCGAAATGAACACAAATAAAGGTTACGTCATATATTATATTATTAGCGGTGATTGCATGTGGTTATTATGTACATACCCAGCAGTGTATCTTCTGGATGGATGTCTGTGCCTGAGGGAAGCAAGGGGGCATTGATGGCATTCTTTCCCTCCTCATGGAGATCACTCACTTATTGAAAAAGAACAACACACAAAAAACTGTAAAACCTGTAAAACGTTCTGGCAAACAGACAGTACAGAAGGTAGACCGACAGACAATGAGACGTGCAAAGACTCTGGGAGAGAAAGAAAAGGAGGAGCGAATGAGAGAGCAGAAAGCAAACACTTGTCAGGGTTACTGGTAAGTAGTAACCCAGTAATCCTGGATCACCACAAAAATTCATGGGGAAAGCGTGGTGCCAGTTTGGTCTCTATTTGCTGGGTGTGCTCCGCCCCTCTAATGATCTGTTCAGTCGTCTAGGCAATAGTTTCACTTCCACACAGTTTTGACTTATCACTTTTAAACATTAGATTTTTTTTTTGACAGTTTGAGATTTGATGAAAGAACAATATATGAATTTACAGACAGACTATTCCTTCAATCTTATCCTCGCCGTTTCGTAAGAAGCTTTGAAAGAATTGCATGCACAGGACGTTTTCTTGGTTTCAAATATTGAAATTGATTTGACTTGGAGCTGGTGGCACAGGTGTCACACATCTGTAACTTTCTCATTTTTACTCTTTGTACTTTTATTCATTAGGAAAAAGCTAGAACCCCTACTTTACATCTTAATTTTAGAGTAAGCTGTTGCGTTTTTTGTTTTTTTAAATTGGGTTGGGGAAAATTGATCACTCCAGCTAATTAAAACAAGCAGGGACTCCAACACTTAGAAATAACACACACTTTGAGTCTAGCTTTTAATAAAATCAATTTCTTCTAAGATGCTTTCACTCCCGGCTACTGTGATTCTCCAGGGATTTAAAGGCTTTTTAGCCCTAATGGCCACATTGCCTTTTATCTTTCTGCAATTTCACTTTCTAAACCACGCAAAAGGCAGGACCACAATCAGTGGTCTCAAATCTGTCACCTCACCGACTCACTGTTTATAAAGCAGCTCAGGATGGCTGAGGAAAACATGAGAACAAAAAAAACCTGTCTGCCCTTTAAGGTTTTCATATTAGAAGCATTGGACAAATTTCTCAAATTGAGAATAAAATTAAACAAAATGTGCAGCAGCGTGCTACAATCTGAACAAAATGATAACTTCAAAGCATGAGTGAAGGGAGGATAAACACAATTAGCCCAGGAGGAAGGGTCCTTGCAGCTTTATTATCTGATTCAGCCTTCTCACAAGAGCCGATAACTGGATAAAAGGCTGAATCTCTCTGCAGATCAGCAGTTTGCTTTGTAATTACAGAACTGCTTTGCTGCATTTTATCATAATTGTGCTACTTCCTCCTTTCGTGTCCCTCTGGCTCCATTGCTGCTGCTTTTGGGTACAGCTTAGTTGCTTTACAGTCACACCAAAAAAAGAAAATCTCTGTTTAAAATGGTCAGATTATTAAAGATAACTCAATTACTGCAGCAGATCTATACAGAAAAGTAAAAATACTTGTAACAACCGAAACAGCACGCTGCTGCATTTAAACCAACACTGCACTAAGGTAACAGGTTCTGGTTCCCCTTTCCCACATCCAGCTTCCCTAAACTCCAGCATGAAATTCACATTACCTTGTTGCTTCCTCTTGGTCCCACACAGGAGGCCCGCCATGTCCTCACAACAAATCAAGAAATCAACCGATTTGGTCCGAATGGCAGTGAGGGAAGGTAGAAAAATCAGGAGTGTATGTGTGCGCAGCAATTGTGTATATAAGTGTGTGTTTGTGTGTGAGAGTGTGTGTGTGTGTGTGTGTGTGTGAATTGCAGTCGGTGCAGCTGAGCGTCAGGGGCGTCATCACGTGTATTTCTGTCACAACCCTCCACCCCACCTATGCGGTCCAGTTACAGGAGAGGCTGAACGTAATGTCCGTGTGTGTGTGTGTGTGTGTGTGTGTGTGTGTGTGTGTGTGTGTGTGTGTGTGTGTGTGTGGGTGTGTGTGGAACAGAAAAAAAGACACCACAGTGGACCTAAACCCACCACATCATCCCGACACACTGGCTGCCACTGGGATATTAAACCATGGACAAAGACAAAGGATGACCGATGAGGTATTACAATCACTAATTTACTGTAATGTGCAACCTGTATTATAACTGCAGCATAGTGTTTAAACACTTAAAAGAGCATTTTCTAAAATGTTTTGTCTACTGGTCAGTAACTAAAGGTTACTAGTTACAGTCTAATCTTTTCACAACAGCATAAGAACTAGTACACTGGTTTCAGGGCTCGATTCTCAGGCTCATTCGGAGCCTGTTGTAATGTAGGAGATTATCAATCAGGCAGTGACTGTCTGTTAACAGTACACTAATTCAATACAAACAAAGCCTGCAGTCAAGAACGTTTATCTTACGCCAGCTTCACTGGACGTATTCGAGAAAAAAATCTGCTATACTGCAAACCGCCATGCAAACAGGGAACAGTGATCACTCAAATCAGCAGAAGCACATGGTGAAATTTCTTTTGCTTTAAATTAAAAGAAAACAAAAAGCTGTCATATGGATAACCAGCCTCCATCAAAAATAACAGCGTAAAGCAGACTGAAATCGACTTGTGTGGCTCCACAACTCCCTGAGGGGGGGTGGAGTTCTACTGACTCACAGGGGAAAGATATAAATAATGCGGCAGTATGGAGAGGACAGACTGGGCCTTAAATATAGCTCTGGTTATTTACAACAGCACAGGCACCAGTGAGCAACAGCAGCAAGGAGATCACACTGAGCTCGCTTCAGCGGCTTCTTTCTATGGATATTAAAGATGACAATTTCAACTATTTAGCTCAATAAACTACACGTTTTATTTACTTGTATTTACTCTGTCTACACTTGCATATACCTCTTCTTGCTCCTCCTGAGCTGTTCTGTTAATTTTCTCTCCTGCTATAAGGATGTTAGCGTGTTCTTTTTCTAATTAAAGAAAAGGTCAAAAGGTAAAAGGAAGTCCAAAGCTATTTAATCCAGGATAATTTTTTCAGGAACAACATATTAGCAGAAGCATACATCTGCCAACTCTTAGTGAATGTAGCATATGAGACAATATTAACGAGCCACTTTTATAGAAGAAAATGACATTTTCAGCACTCTCCAATGAGTACTGTAGTGCTTGAATTACTTTAACAATCCCCATGTTGGTACTAACTGTGCACTGTTGAACGACATTTTGCAAAAGCTCCTATTAAGAAACTTATAAATACACTTTTTTTTTTTTTTGCTGTATCCTTCAAGTCTTTATGCAACAGGATCTACAGGAACGAGCCACCCTGATCAAGTACTTGCACAACTGCTTGAAACATAAAATACATTTTGTGGAAGCTAAACTTTTAAATAGCAAATATAATGATATTTCTAAAAGCAAATCAACATTATGCTAAATATATTCTGTGTTTAGCAGTTTTGTATAAGCTGTACTTTAAAAATATATAAATATACGTTATAAAAAATGTGCTTTTTAAAAATTAAAAAAAGAGGAAATAAAGAAAATTGAAACACATTGGTAAGAAACACTGATCACTTACTGTTGTCAGCATCCATCCTACGACAACAAGGATGTGACACAGTCTTCTCATTCCCTATTCACTTAACTATCATTGTTACAACATGCCTTATGCTGACAAAAGGAAGTAGCCTTGTCAGTGAAAAACAGACTTCCTGTCAGCTTATCAAGGAATAAAGACACACTTGTTCTGTGTGAGACCAGCTCCAGAAATGCAGGACTATGAGCCAATATTAACTATCCACATACAACACCCCGGGATTGATTCTTCAAGTATCTAAACTCTTTTGAAGGGAAGGACTTCCATTATTCCACAATAACATTCCCTAAATTGGTGCTTTGGTGATGGTGGTGCAAAGCATAGTATTTAGCTCTTAAATACATCCACAGTGACCTGTTTGAGGTTAAGGATAGGTTGAGGCTTACAATGCAATTTTTACCTGATTGGGATAACTCAAATGGAAATCTTTAAAACCATGAACTGTAAAACTAAAACGCATGGAGCTTACTGCAAATAAAATGTAGTGCACTTCCCTAAAAACACAGTCATTTAGCATGTTGCTACAAATATAAATGTATTTATATGTGCGCCAATGAGTTCAATGGTACACATTTAAATACACATTTTCATGCAGCTAAATCTGATCCTGGAACAGACCACTCCCATCAAAATTTAAAACAACAACAACAACAACTTTATATTGTGTTATAGAAGCACCATCTCTCTCTCTCTCTCTCTGTTTTTCCCCCCAATTTTTTTTATTTACAGTACACGTTGCATTACATCGCCTTAAGCAACATCTTTTAATTGAGTAAGAGGAAGCGGTGCTGAGGAGTGCAAACTCCCATCGCTAATTATTCATCAGAAGTGAAGCATTTTTCCAGCAACAACTAGTCTGCTGGGCGTTTTCTTTAAGGGAGATAAAGCGTCACACCCCCAAGTAACAGAAGCCCCAGTTACACACTGCGCTCCATTAGCAACACAAACTTCACATGCCTTTCTTTTGTTATACTGATATTCCCTTCAAACGTCACTATGACTGCCTCCCTTGCACAGAACTGCGTTTTATGTGAGCTTTAATAGCCACTGACCACACAGGGGCACTGCGCTCTCACAAGCTGCAAGAACTGCAGGCACTGGTTCTGTGGCTTATTGGATTGGCTGTCCACATCTGAAAGAGTCATCACATGTAGCAATGAGAGCTGCGTGTTGGTGAAATTAATGTGAGGTTCTGGAGCTTTTATAAGTTAACTGTCACATTGCTTTGCAGCTTTCTCTTTACTCTTTACCAATCTCCTATGGATGCTAAAAATCAGGAATGGCACAGCAACCATGAAATCTGAGCAGTATGACTCTGAAAACCAAAAACAAAGTAATATATAAATTACTTGTGAGAAATGATTGCTTGGTTGTGCAAGTTATACTGATGGACAGCAAATCTAGCTCACTGAAGCAGAATATGCTGAAGCTTTAACCTCAAGTTCAACCAGCAGGACTATTACTGTAATTCACAGAACTCCACCTCTCAGTTATCATCTAATTAACTCCCTCAGTAGTCATCAGCACATTTCTTTTTTCTTTTTTAACCTCCTTAAAACTTACCGTTTTATTCGTTGTGAAAAGTAAGCAATGAAATACAGTACATTGAGACTGTAACTAATAGTTACTCCACTATTAGGACGGGAGTTATAAAGAAAGATGCAGAAAGTGTCTAACCAGACACAAAAATGCAAACGTGTTCCATCTAAAATCGCATGAATCTGATTGAAGACAACAGATCTACATAGGTTTTGGACATTTTTGCTTAACCCTTCCTGAGCCCTGGGACCATTTTTGTACATTTTAGTTTTTCAGTTACAAGCCATTTGCACTGTGTTGAATGGAATATAGCCAAATTCTCTAAAAAAAAGTTTGGCATAATTTCATTTCAAAATTCAAGTCTGACTTCCTTAATCAAATGTCTTGACAAGTAATAAATAAAACAATTTACTGAAGATCTAACGCGTAATCTATTTTCTGTGAATTATTTTGTGAACTATTTTCTGTGTATTTACAGTGACACCATGTGCTTCATTTTATGCATATTTAAGCAAATTAAAGTGGTTTGAGGGTCTTAAATACCCTTTAAAATGGGACTCCTAACCCATTAAAATGCCTCCGTGTGCCTTCTGGCGACCGCCCTTGAGTGGAGATTACAAACACATGGCTGGAGAGCACACATAGAAAGCACAAACACTGTAATGCACACACAAGCGTTAAATTTCACAGGGACTGTTGTGGGAGATCACAAAACAGTTGATAATTGTGACTAATCCTGCTAGAATAGCAATGATACTCATGTTTATTTTCATAAACCTGGATTCCGGTCTAGTGTGCGATCTATTTATATGTACTTGCCTCATGTGCCAAGCCCGTGGACTTGCTGCGAAGCTTTGTGTCACTCTTCATCACAAATAAATTGGGTTTCCTTGACTCGTGTATACGTCTTTAACTGTATCTGAACTACAATAACACAGTTTAAACTTAAAATCAGTGAATTTATCAACTGGCTACAATAAACAAGGGGAACAAGAAGCACGAGTCGGGATAAAGCAACACTGAACACCTCTTGTTAGAAGTCATGCGAACAGTCAGTGAATCAGCTGCGAGTGATGCCCACGGGAGAATATTTCCATAGCGCAGACTGCAGCACCATGGACAGAAACACGAGCAGGAAAAAGAAAAATGGGGATCTTCCATCATGTAAAACAAAAATAAGAAAAACAAAACTTCGAATGGCCCACCTTCTTTGGACTTTTTCTTCCGCACCAGGGTTCCTCCTAATTTCCCGAGAAAGGACTCGTCCTTTTTCATTTTTGCGGTCTGAGGGTTCGTAGACACGGTCGGAGCCCCGGACATGTTTGTGTGTCTCTGTGTACCTAAGCTCCCTCTCTCTCCCTCTCACAGTGCTCCGTTAATAAGGCTCACTCCTCCCTGTGCTGCGTTCAGGCACAGGAAAAACGGTCCAATCACAGTGACAACAGACAGGCAAACAACAGCAGGAGCGGCGGTTGGTGGGCATCTACACAAACCACTGATTCACGTGTGAGTAAAACCTTCATTGCTTCGCCGGCTCTCCAACAGCGCCACCCGCAGGTCGGATTGGGAAGCAACGTGTGCGTCATCCCATGGGTTTGAGGGGGGCACAACAGATAGCCTCCCCCCAAAAAACGTCCGTACCAAGCCGTTGGAGTTAACCAATAAATTACTCTTTTTACCTATCTCAATATAACGAATTA